CAACAAGAGATGGATGAGCTGTTCACCGTCCTCAACCAACAGTCGCATTTATCAAGTTCACGAGAGAGGTTTCGAGAGGTTTGGTGTCGGAAGGCCAGCTCGATAGAATATCTTACTCCACTCAAAGTCTGCTCACCCCGAAGCTGTGAAACGTGCAGTAATTCCAAACATGTACAGAACAGCTACAGGAGTGTGTACAGGCGAAGTGGAACAGGAGGAGTCACGTAAGCTAGCAACTGGGATTCCAAACTGGCTATGGGACAAAGCAGAGAAAGACAGGCTTGAAAGGGTACTCGCTGAAAAAACATGAGAATATGGTGCATCTCCGACTTCCGTTTATATCGGATAAAGTCAGCGCAGAGATACGGCAGTGCATTGCACGAGCGGAATGGCTAACGATGTTGTCTTGATAAACGTACCATCAGACAATATCAAACGTCTTTTGACCCGCAACAGACTTTATGATCGTACATGTCCGACAGAAAACTGCGTTGTGAGTCCGTTCGGGAGGAGTGGAGATTGCACACAGCGAGGGACGGTAACCATCTTCAGTGTTCAGCCTGTGACGATATATGTATTGGTGAGGCATCGACTAGATGAGCAACAAGGCAAAGATTTTGATATCAAAAAAAAGCAGGAAAGCCACAGACCAAGAGCTCCTGACTACTGTCAGGTCCCTCAAGACGACGATTTAGTCGAAACGTCGACCTAATAAACGGCTCCATTATAACAAACCTGTACGGCAAAGCACTGTGAAATATTATGTTGGGACGGGGTTTGGGATTCGCATGAATTATACTCACGATACAACCTACCTTTCATTTCCGATTTGCAGTGCTCAGTTTGTCATTTTTCGAAAAACGGCGAAGCCTCTTCTTTTTGCAGCCAATTCATCTTGGCATAAATCTAGAGAACTCTTTTCCAAGATCGCTCGTCCTATTGACATTTCTTGCGCAACAGAGCGTGGACAGGTCAACCCTGAACAAACCGTGGGTGGTTGAAAAGAGAGTGTAATAACAATTGATAATCGCTGATAATTAGCGATAAAACGCAAGAGCCTCTAGCCTCGAAACACTTTCCCTATTCAAGTCAACAGGAGGGTCTTTCTTTCCTTCAGTGTGTGAGTGGCTGCTTTCATAGTCCACGATTTGGCCCGCGACCGATCGAGCGATTTGGGCGGCGCTTGCCCGCGGTATCGACCGAGATTCAGGTGTAAACGAGGACCAAGCGCCGCCCCAATCGCTCGATCGCTCGCGGGCCAAATCGTGGACTATGAAAGCAGCCAGTGACTGGAGTGTAGCTAATGGGTGACAGAAAAAGATAACAGCTGATGAAGAGTAACAAAAGACTTTAGAAAGCGATAAACTTTTTTGCTCGTTTCCTTAGATTACTAAGAATATAGCCTTGTCACCAGGACGGCTGCCAGCCCGATGGTCAGACTTCTTCACGAGAGCTCTGTACGAAAGGTATGCTTCGCCCCGTGTTTCTCGAGCTAGGACGACCCACTGGACTACTCACTACTTCGTGATAGGGACGAAGGAGACGTTTCTGGCACCCGGTCGTAGAAATCGATGATCAACGGGACGTCCGGTGATACAGGTGGTGATAGTGGTGTTAGCCTTGACACCTTGATATACTTCCTACTGTAAGGAGGGAAGGTAGCACAGATAGAGAATAAGTGACAAAAGCACTGTTCAAGACTAATTCAGGTCGGTATCATATAAGGGAATCTAACACTGATTCATTCCTCTCTATTAGATTAGACCACTACATATCAAGTGAGGTAGCACCTCATTAAGGATCACGTTTTCTCTTCATGCTGATACAACAACGAGAAAACTCTTTTCTGGACCACAAAATATCATGCAATCGATCATGGGTAACAACCTCCGATAGTAGTTTACTGTTAGCCATAGTAGTATGCCCATTCAATGTTTCAGTGGACCAATTCAGACATGAACATACAAACCGACAAACATACAAAGCGACAGGTCGACAGGCTAACTAACACATCAATTTGCTGCCTCATACATCAATGAACAGTCCGGAACAGAAACTAAAATATACTCTTCTAAGGAAGCTATTTAGTTGTGTACTTCTCCTGAAGCACATGACAAGACGATAAGCCTAGAATATGCCATCACAGAAGAATATGAATGATTTCCAAAGCTCAGCTCGAGGTGGTACCAACACAACTTCCATTTAGTGATGTAAGCGACATATCTACTTACCAGTCGAATCGCCCGGCTCACACCGGTTCTCCTCATTTTCGTGTTAAATTTGGCCCGCCGCCAGCTGCACCCCTGATCTTGGATGCTCTGGTGCAAGAGAAGAGCAGTAATGGATTTGGAAACCCTGACATACTTCTTGAGCGCCCAGCCCCTCATGAACTGAGTTCTGCTTGAGTGAACGCACCACGAGACATGATGTGCGTCTATGTAAGTTGATTCACTCCTCAGTGTTTTCATCCTGTAGCCTGTTCGCTTCCAAACTTGAACGATCCAGGTCTAAAAGAGGTTTTACGTACATTTCGCCTCTACGGATGCAGCCCATACGTAATACCAGCCGTCAGAGCACCTAACCTGTCACCTGCATCCCTTCCAAATTCGAACACTCGGTCCAACGGATCAATTGCTATGAATTCCCTGTCAAACAAGCCCACCGACACACACAATGATATGCCTGGTCAGTAGATATGTCGTAAACATCACCAAATGGAAGTGATTTTAGAGCAACCTCAATTAATCGAGAGACAATTCTCGAGCGAGGCCGCCGTCTTTAGGTCTACTCCAGTCCTGTCACCTGCCATCACTGTTCCCACCCTGCTACTTGAACTCCTTGAACTCCTACCAAATTTGACCGCCCTAAGTTTAAGGTAACGGGGGTCAAGAATTTCCAGTAAGACACTCTTTTTTGCGCACGCCCCTCCTCGTGTATGCATAATCCAGCTCTACTACTACCAGCGTTTCAATCCTGCTGCCTATAATCCTACCGAAGGAAGGCTCTAGATCCAAGAGAACAGGAATGCTGTCAAACACATATACCAACACACAACAACAAACCAACAATTATACTTAGCGCATTGTATATAGGGTTACTACGGGATCGTCAACTACATAATTCCACCCATCTGAAATTGGAATATCACTCCTTTCCCAACTACGTTCTATTTGGAACTCACTTCTAACCTTTCATTGTGGAACCAAATGAAGAACAGCATTTCATCAACATCAACATCAACAACATCAACGGCATCCCAAGGAACCAGCATGAAATAGCCTACCTTACCATTTGTACCTATGGACATAATTCGAAACCATCAAGAGCACTTAGAATATCTGCGAAATCGCGACTCATAGACTGAAGGAATGCACATGATCATGGGCTGCGCAATGCTCCCGTTCTCAGCTAGCGCCAAGTGGGAGAACCAAAGAATTCGCGAAAAATGCAAGATAACGCAAGCGGTCAAGAGTCATTCCAAAAAAATGAGAAACAAGGAAGGAGAAATTAGTACGAAGTGCTCATCTCGCACACCTACCGCTTTTGCAATCGCTCTTGTTAACATTAATTGAAGTCCGTAGAAGAGTGCAGAAGGGGTCTCCCTGGCAGAGAACAGCCTCTAAAAGAGTAGGTAATTTACATTACCATTTGAGACTAAAAATCAAGCAATCAGACCAAGGGGAAAATCAAACTAATCGCAAGGTGATCAATGTGTTATGATGTCCTTTCAAATTGTTCCATGGATTCCTCCGGTACCCTTAAAATACTTACTGTGTGGAATCATTTCGGACGTTCCAGCCTCCAGAGCAATAAACCAACAAAACGGTCTGCATATAATGGCGCTCTGAAGCAAAGCCACGACATTTAATTTCACCTAGAAGTATCTCATTCTAAATGAGTAAATGATTTCAAGTGCTACTGTCGGTGATAAGGTAAAATGGTGAACGACCAGGGTAGCTTTACTGGGAAGTTGTCTGCCACCAAATCATTGGCTATGCCTAAACAAACTATGAAACTGACAGGCATCCCAGTACAGTTGAGAAAACAAGAAACCGTGAAGTTCACATTTATCAATTCAAACATTTATCGTCAACAGTAATAACAATAATCAAACCTTGAACGAACGAACTGCGCTGAGATCTTGGCAACTACTTATAATTACATAGACATTGTACAAATTTATTAGAATCGCCAAGGATTCGGATAAAAAAGCGTTGATCTTCAATTTTAAGACATTCAAAAAGCTTTGTGGGAAATAGAAACGATGTCAAGTGACTAACGGTAAAATATATGAGTACAATATCACCGATTGGATCGCTATTGAGAATCAGTCAAAAGACTTAACGCAGCAGTCAACCACGGTGCAGCCGGGTACACGTAAACTTGCAGAAGGTGCAGAAACTTTTTGAATCAACGACGCGGATTCGCATCATAGTAGCGATCTACTATTGGAGTAAACACCTTGGCACTAACGGCTAAGACACTCGCATAAACTGGAGCCAACACGATTCCTAGGGATGGTAACACATGTGTTACTTTGGGAACAGTCGCAAAACAACTGGATAATGCCGACTCCTAGCAGTAAATACTGCCGAAAGGCTGCGCAGCGAACTTGGCGCTTTTTGATTCCGTCGGGCTTGACTGACTAATGATTAGTTCAGCGGAAACTCCGCAGCGATAAAAGCAAAAGAAAAGAGTTGGCATTACTGGAAGCTTCGGAAAGGAATCTAGAAATGCACATGAATCTACTGATCGGTAAGTCAGCTGCGGCATGACTACACAGGTCAGATACGGAATCAAAAAGGCCACTGACGTGCACTCGACTGCAATCTTAACTTAATTTCAGAATATGCTGTAGATTATGTTAGACTAGGTCCATAACGTGCAGTTCAAAAGAATAAGGCGCCCTCGGGGCAGAATGTGTAAGTTTAAGAAAACTGCGAACAAATGGTATGACAACAATAGAAGACGGAATCGTGTCAATCCGAATTAGCAGCTGACTACCGCTCGGTTTTTACAGTTTCCACAGACTGAATCTCAACCTCCTCACCTATATGGATCGCTCCAACCGCATCTTTCGGCATGGCCTCCTTCTGCCCTTCCTGCGCTTCATCCTGGATGGCAGGGGGATGCTCTCCGACGACCACGCTTTCTTCGACGATTTCCACATTTTCTATAGTAGCACCTTCCGGAATCATTTCTTCGTCAACAATTTCTGCTGACACCAAGCCGTCATCTGTCACCACCATTGCTTCTAGAGATTCGTCTTCTACGATCAGTGGATGGTGGTCGGCAACTATTTCAATGCCGAAATCCTAAACAGAGCGATCTCAAAATAGTCACCGATTTTATCCACTTATTCAATGCAATAGCACTAACCGATTTAATGTTCTGGAGCAATCGCGGCTCATTTTTCTCGAGAAGCAACCTCCACAAAGCGTCAAAAACTGCTTCATTGCTTCCCGCGTCGAATGCCTCCCTAGCATACCTCCAGACAGCATCTTCACGTAATGCATGCCCACTACCGGCGGGTATGTTCGCGAGACGCATCGGATTCATCTGAATAGTAGACTGATGAAGAATTAAGAATGACTTTCCTATGCAACAATCGTTCTTCCAGATAATGGATCTATGAAAAAGCAAAGAACCTTTCGAACAGGCGATCCGACGGCCTGTTCAACCTCTTCTGTATGTGAAACATCAATGTCTCCACCGTCAACTATTCCTTGTGCAGCTGTCTGGAAATAAGTGCATTAGGCACTTCATAATCATCAAACTGCCCGCACGATACTCACCAATTCTCCTAGTTTTTTGGCGTGAGCAATGTCAGCTTGTAACCAATCGGGAATATAGTCCAAGTCATCCAATCTGCGAAAATAAGCAATCTTTACTAATCCTTACAAAGTCAACACAACGCCACTGATTTACCCAGATCCTTCCAGTTTCACGTCCACGTACCTAGGCTGATCGCGCCGAAGCTCTCGTCGTATGTTGTACAGCTAAAAATCAAGAAATAACAAGACTTTCACTTATTTCAGACAAAATTTCAATAAAATCAAACCATGAATTACAGCTCTCAATTCATTTTTTCCTAGTCTCCCAATTCTTTACTTCGCCTGTGCATTATTCCAAGTCTCAGAATTCTTTACTTTACCTGTGCATTATCTACTTTATCCTACTTCTACACATTTCATTCCTTTATCTACTATCTGCAGCGAGCAATGATTCAAAATTCGAGATTTCAGATAGATTGAAGCCATTGAAAAATTTCAGATAAATTGAAAGGAACAAGAGTGAAGAAGTTCTATGGCAGCAACTTCCCCGCCACTGTCGATAACTTTTTCATCTACGATTTGGATCGATTTCACTCTTTCAACCCCTACTGCAGCTATTCAACCCCTACTGCGCTATTATTTGTCATACTGCGGAATGAAATCCTCGAGCATTATGACCCCCATGAAAACTAAGCTAGGTCGATCAGCGCATAAACAAGGCCTGGATCGAAACTGGAGTGCTTCAAAAACGCCTGAGCTGAGGAGAAGGGCGCAATATGTGGAGCACTCAAGTGAAACATAAACAATGGCGAACAAAAAAAAAGAAGCATATTTGGATAGCATAAGGTCAAAATTGCAAGTGCTATCCTTATTAGGTTCTACAACATCAGAAAAAGACTTAATTTCACCGTTCAATAAAATGACAGCGTAAAAAATCAGCAAAGCACTTATCAGCCCGCGCGGGGTAGCTGGGGGATATTACAAAGTTCGTCAAGTCATCACAGGACTACAGTGCTTTATGAAGTCTTATCTCTGTCTTGGGGTAACGGAACTTCTCCCCTATCGCGGCATTCTCCCATGCGGCATGCGGCAAATGTCACTGCAATTACCGTACTCACCCCGCCTTCCCCCATTCGATAGGACGCGATATTTTTCGTTGATTGCCTTGCTTTTTTATTGGATTTGACCATTTTTTCTTCTGTTTCTTTTTCGTTTTCATGTTTATTAGACTTGATTAATTAATATGACTCCTCGTATGTAAGCGGCGATCAAGATTGCATTGAAATTGAAGGAAGCGGTCAGCCAATTCAAATAATTAAAGGACTCCCTACCTCACAAATTGCGCGCTCCAATCTTCCATCGCAATCCTGCGATACGCGGCGGGTGCGGCGTGTGCGACGCCGTGACAAGGGAGAAGTTCCCGGACCCCTCTGTCATGCCGTCAAGACTTGCTCTTTCATTAACTATAGAACCTGCTGCCTTGGGTAGTCATATATGAAAGCTGAAAAAGCAGCTTTTAGTCTGGGCTGCCTGCTCGGCTTGGCTGGACGCGACAATGCCACATGGCACTTTTTCGAAAACAATAATTTGTCACGATAGAACAACGCAAAGACCAGTCTCGTCGCCAACAGTATGTTTAATTCCGTGGAAAACAAAGCTGTAGTCAACTAAACTCTGATCAATCAACGTTGATAGCATTGTAAGCGTAAGAGCGAAACCATCCAGATAAGATGGCCAAAAGCGCCTCAATGCGGCATAGCATAACGAATGCTGCGATCTCAATCAACTCTGTTGAATGAAATGTATGTTTCTTAGGGAGACGGCTAAGAGGAAGTCTGAAGATAGCAGGCAACGCTTTGAGATTTTTTTCTTTGCTGTCATTTTGAGGCAATAAGGAATGCACCCACATTCACTTGCAGAGAAGCCCAACGGGTCTCGACCAGACACCACGAGAATTACCTCGCTTAGAACTCAAATATAACCGGGATACGTGCTCTATGAGTGAAATGGCGAACCTCACATATGGACAACCTCTCCTTAGGTCCGAAACCCAAGACCAAAATTGTCAAAAAAAAAAAAAAAACTCCAAGAATCAAAGGTCTTTGATGAGGATTCGACGACTTCATTTGATACCGTGTTTTCGCAATAAAATCTTTCTATTCGTAGTTATCTTTGATTATTTCCACTGTTTTAAAGTTTAACAACATCTTACCATCCTTTTATACAAGATTAAGGTTTGAACTGGAGGAAAAGGAACCCTCTATTGAATAAAAGAAATAGAAAAGACCAACCGCACGAGGGGCTACTGCATAATTAGTTTTGCTCGACAGCATCTCAGCAACTTCAGATGGCGGATGGTTGGCTAGTAAACGCCGCGCCTCATCTCGCACTGAAGGTGGCAGACGTGTGTATAACGCTTCAGAAGTGATGCTGTTTCCATGTGGAACCTGACGACAAATAGTGTATATACATGAAAGAACCGTAGCAACACATAATTCTGGTGATGAAACAGTACCTGTGTTGGAAGAGCTCCTTCTTCAGTGTACCAATACACAATCATCGAATGCCCGATCTGCATACCCCCTTTAGTTAAGTAGATTACCTAAACAGGCAAATGTAAACTTTCACAGGAGAAACTGTAAAAGTTATTAGCATATCATTATATACAAAGCATGACAGTATAGGATACATTACGCGACACGTACGACAAAGTTTGAATCTTAAATTTCAGGGTTTTAATTGCTCACTCTCTTTTTCAAGCGTGGTAACCGTGGCAATGTAGCCGCATAAATGTGCATTTGATAGTCAGTGCCTTGTGATCGCGACATTTTCATGACACGAAGTTGCCCTTCACGATTCAAACCCAGTGAGATCTTGCTTGTTTTCGGACGCCGACACATAATGGAACCTTAATAACTTTTCATCTCTTATGATATAATTGAATGAATTATGTGCCGCATTCGAGAATACAATAGATGAATTTCTGACAATAAATTACCATCACTCATTTGTAAGCTCTCTGACCATGGCGATAATGCATCACATGTCAAGTTTCTAATATCGACCTGAATAAAGTAGTTCAATGAATGAAAACTAGTAAGAGTTGATCCCTCCTACCTCGCCGCCATCAATGAAGAATATAAAGGTCCCTCTGGAAGTTGTCATAGGCGGAAACATAGGGACCCTGGTGTTCAGGCAACCCAAATTTTCACTAAATTGAAGAAAGCGTATAATTCAGCACCGGTGACATAAGCTAATGGGAACTAGATCATTTATCAATATGAGCATCCAAGAAGCAAACAAGATGTTAGCCGAGACTACTTTAGAAGTTTCGTATTTCCTTACATAAATGTATGACTTCTTATATCCGTTCCTCTTAAATTCGAAGAAAACTGGAAATGACTCCGTACACCTGTTTGGAAGTACACTTCCTCTACAAAAAATATAACTCACACAAGACGAGGTTTGTTAATGAGGTAGTGTAGCTGGCGATTGCGATCATTCAAAAACTCCATATCAGAAAGATCCAAAAAGATGGAGCCATCCTCTGCCTGTTGTGGGCCTAGACCGAACTGAAAATTCATCGGAATGTGCACTCTTCTCAAACTGTGATTACCGGGGGACGTGCGATTCGTGCGATTTTGGTCGCGCGCGGCAAATTGCGCAACGAATTTCGCGATGATTCAAACAACTCTGGCGCCTATCACTGGGGCAAAAACTTGAAGTAGAATACTTTAGTAGGTTCGGACAATCCTACTAACCTAGTTTACTTCAAATTTGGGCCCTTATGATAAACGCTGTAGTCGTCCAAATCGCACCGAATTTCGCCGCGCAACTCGCCGCGCGCACCCAGAATCGCACGAATCGCAACACACCCGTGACTACCAGATCTCACTTACTGGACTTTCTTTGTCCGATTCTGATACATCGGAGACGTCATCTAAAGTATCAGCCACGTCAATCTGAAGTTAAAAAATGTGTTGGGCTTGTAACAGAAGACAAAACTTCAGTATCATAGAAAGAAAATGGACGCACCATGGGCCGTCGTGGTTTCTGCCGCATGAAACGCTTGGAGTATGGACCTCGAATGCGAGGTACCGGACCTTCGGTATGATAATCATACATGATCATAACATGACTGATAATCGTCCGTGATTCTGTTTCCATCAGATAGGCTATCTGAAATATCACCACCGTAGAGTAATATATACAAGGAAATTCAGCTACAAACGACATTTAAGGAGCATCCTCACGTTAGATTTTGGAAGCAGCATTAGAAAGAGGAAAAATGATGCGTTCGCATTCAGGATTTTTTAATACATAACGATAGCGATATAGCTGTATCTACCTTTTTTCTGAGTCTGGTCTCCTTGGGGTGAATGCTGTATAAATGCACAAGGTGATATGGGCTGCTTCGATAATCTCCATGGCCAATTCGAAACAAACCAGTAACCTCATCCGTTTCAACTGGGAATTTCCGCACCTTTGTACGATAACAGGTTGGATTTTCGGCTGAAAGTAACTAAAGTATCAGTTACAGTAACACAGTAGTTCACAACATCAAAATTCAACTCATGTCATATGAGATATTAAGGTGATAATGGGAGGCAAGCAAACTAACAATGGTAGCTAATGCAATATCTGTACTTTCATTGTAACGACACTTCGAGAAAAGCCGAACGTACGTGTTCCGTTCCCGGACCACGGAGAAAAATCGTCTCTGTTGATGTCGTGGGGATAAACGATATTGCCGGCTACAAAAAACGCATAGGCCCGAGCGTTACGCACGAGGGGAGGATGCTGTGGTTTCGTGTTGTTCAAAATATCATGATTTTCACTGAAATACATGACAACTAAAACAAAATTCTGTTGTGATAGTCGTCTCACGTAGTTTCAACTCACACGAAATTCGTGTTGGCAATGTACTGCAGAATTGTATCCAAGCTTCCTGCCAACCTCTTGTGCCTTACCGTCAGATACACGTGCCCACTTTCCAATTCCCGCACACCATCGATAAACTGAAAGTTTGTCCGAGATTATTAGTTCTTTCATGGGAATCAACTGAACTAAACTACCGGATCACTGTTTTCTTGTGATGCCAAGAGATCTTCATCGAAGTCTCCGTCCCAACCTCCATCCAGGCAATCCTCATGCATTTCTTCATACTAAAATAAGCAATCAGCCGACAAAGCGAACTTAACCAGAATCATGTTAAATGAACGAGCTCAAACCGCACATCCCCTTGTCCTCCACTCATCGACATGTCATTTTCATCCGTTGCCTCCACAATCTCTTCAACGTCGACAAAATCGTCACCAACTCCGCCATTTCCTTGGATGTCGGTTGAATGTGACTTATCAACTGAAGCTGTCAACGCCGAAGATTGCCGGCTCTGTAAACGGCATAAGGAAGCCGTACGGGATTGAAAAGCTTGGCAACACAAACATATAATGCAAACAAGACATTTTACAAATTTCTTACACCACAACGAAGGCTCGGTGCAAAGTAAAAAAAAACAAAACTTTTGCAATCCACTAACTGTTATTGGAGGTCCAGGTACAGTTATCGAATTATCCCGCAGGATTTCTGGTAGCGGGCCTTCTCGTATATACTCGTACATGAAGCAGACAATTCCCAACACCATACGGTTGTTACGTTGGATGAAAACAACCTTGAAATGAATTGAATGAATCGTACCTTCCGGCATTCTTCGAGCGGTGGTGAATATAAAAGGGATTCATCCAAAGCCACAAGTGTGCCAAGAACTCGGATAGCTGTACACTTACCCTTTTCCTCAGCCGTGGGCATCTAGCCAGCACAGTTATTGTCTCAACCAGTGCCAAACCTGTCTGCTGCCAGTCCTGCTTAGTCAATCGGAACACTCCCTCTGAATCTTGCATAAGAGCACGTTTCACTGTTCGTACGCGATTATGCATAGATGCGCCTGAATGACCGATATCACGGAAAACATTAAGAGAATTACCAGAAGCAGTACCTCAGCCTTCTGAGTAGACTTTTTGAACACGTAGCCAACCCCAAACCACATATTAAGGACTCACCCTGGAATGTCCATGGCGACAAACCATCCCCGGTGTGATGAATATGATCGGAAACCAATGTAGCAGGGGCAAAATGTACAAACACTCCTCGCCCTTCGATCATCGGTGGAAGAAAAGGTACATGAGTGTTGAGATACCCTGCTTCATCTCTGCAAAAGAACAATGTCCGTGTGCTTTGGCATATGTAAATATGAAGTTTCCAATTGTTATTTGAAGAACAAATATTCCCATTTTCAAAAATTCAAACAACCTACAAGAAAGTGGGATCGTTGATCAAGTACTTCAGCAGTAGCGTCTTGTTGTTCACCCATCCGATCTTCGATGGATGGACTCTGAGGAACTTCTCCCCTCGAACGCCAGGAACCACACCTTCGATGAACTATAAAACATCTTTTAATGAAGTTTTCGACATTTACGAATTCCCTTTTGCGATCCTCACTAATTTAACATCAACTAAAAAATTTTCAGGAGAGTGCTGATCCAGAACGCCGCTGTTATCTACACTTAGAAAATTGTTAAGTATAGGTTGACCCCGATGGATATGAGGCGGTAATGAAGGGATAATTTGAATATGATGGACCTGTTCATATGCTCCGTTTTCCTCCACCTCCATACAATTTGAATATGGTGGACTTGTTCAATATGCTGCGTTTTCCACCCCCTTCATACCCTACATTTTGAGCAATAAGCGAAGTTAATGTGAACAGCTTTCCTAGAGCTCATATGATTTATCTATTGCCAGCAACAGCTCTTTTAACCCATTGCGTACCGTAGTGTATTTGGGCTGACTGGCGCATGTGCCCAGCGTTTTCTTCATAAGCGACGCGGAAACGTGATTTACGGCGAGCAATACGCGGCCACACAGAGCGGGCTTTTTAGCGAACCGCAAAGTATGTGCTGTTCGAACTTTATCCAAATTTTAGAGTGATTTTGGACCAAAACGCGGACATGCAGAAGCGAAGGGGCGTGTTGCACATGGTGCAGCACGCGGTACGCAATGGGTTGATAATCATATTAGTGTACTTCGGAGTCTGGAAATCTGCGTATAACGATCACCCGCTCTCCAATTTGTTTGAAACTTCTGTGATGCAGGGACATCAAAAGCCTCTGCAAGATGAGTGATCAACTAATCAAGAACACCTTTCGGCTTTAGTAGAAACTTTCGGGAAGTTTATTCATGCTATCAGGAAAGGTAACGGAACATGCATGAAACTGACCGGATTGTCCGCATCGGCAACAGGCAATTCCAAGCCTAAATCCAACTGCTGCATATCCCGCAAAGCATCGTTACCGTGAGCAATGTTCATTATAGATGGTATTTCTCCGGGCATCGTGAAGTCGTACAAAATGAGGACATTACCGACGATTTGCCCAGTTTGCCGAGCGACATAGAAAATCTATAACCGTAGACAGTTAACGGGCAACATTGAACTAAAGTCACTAAGTAGTTACTAGTAACAGTCACAGCCGAGAAAACCCCTTAACGAACTGATTAAAGTCGAGATGTTGATAGAAAGTTTTACCTTTTTTCTCAAGCGTAGAAGCCTTGGAAGCCATGCGCTGTACTCCGTTAGGTGGAATTCAGAGGAGCGCCCGTCCCCTTTACATGGTTCGAATCGGCCATCCACTCTTGCGACAGCGTGTTTCCTCACATTAGGTTTGATGGTCGGCTCTCCCTCTACGGGATCTACAAAACCATCCACATAGCTAGAACCCAATAAATGAGTTTAATAAACGTTACCAGTAGTTGTCCATGGCTTCAGATCATCGCTCGATAGTTCTCTCACTGAGCTCACAGTAGATCCCTCTATATAAAACGCAAAGCAGGCTTTCGTACCGACGAGAGGAGGCAGTCGTGGAGGTTTAATTGACATCCACCCTTGTTCACGTCTGAAAAAAAATAATGAACTACCCCTTTCATGGAATCGAGTAAAAAGCATAGGATTAGTTGAACTAAAGGAATACAACGTAAAAGCTTGATTGCATTTAAATCGTTCACTTACATTGCCTCTATATCCGAAGGTTCCGTCAACAGCTCTACAATTCTTTCTTTACGCAGCAAATAGCTGAGACAGCCTGGTATGACGGTTGCGTAGCGATCTCCATATTCTGTCACTCCAACTTCATTTTCAAACTGGAACAACTAGTGTCAACCGATAAACGGCACGCAACCAACGCCATTTACAAGTAACGAAGATTAGTGATGGTTAAATGGGTAGCATAGATAATTGTCGGGTGGCAAACGTACTCAAAGTACTGGCAAATAAGAGGTGACAATAAGAGAAGAATATCTTAAATCCTCAAAGACGTGGAAGATGGCACAAAAAAACCTACTTTAAATTTGTTTTAGAAGTTCAAATGAAAGAATATCCTATCTAACAATATATGGGAAGAATTGTAGTTAAGTATTCAGGCCAATATAATGAAACCAACCAGTTTTATATTGTAATTATTGATCTTTTCGGCTTCTCCTTTGCTGATGGCTTTATCAGCTACGTAACGTGACCGTGGAAGCGGAAATAGTCGCCCAGTGCGATTGGATCGTGGGATGACATGCGATGGAGAGTGCTTACGTGGTCGTCCGCGTGGACGCCTTCTCCTGAAGCGCACATCTCTTTTGTAAGTATGTTTGAAACACCAATTCGAAAACCAACTTACTCTGCGCTCTTCTCAAGCATGGGCGGTTGATCATCCTCTTCACCACCAGACACTTCTTCTTCAAGTGCTACGTCTAATGCATCAGCTAGCGTCACCATACCACTTTCATCTTGACCCATCAACTCGATACCTTCGATATCAACCTCCCCTTCGACGTTTGGTTCCTTAGAAATCGATCTTACTTCTCAAAACAGAATTGACGTCAAGCTCAACGAAAAAAAAATATTTAACTACTCACTTCGGGCTCTATATACGGAGGAGGAGCTGCAGCGATTCGACGTGGATGAGGTTTTCGCGCGATTGCTGCGGCTCGCTCCTCTGCTTTCACACTTGCAATCATTTCATCCTCGTTTGATGACTCAATGTCGACAAATTGTTCATCGACTTCTTCAACAACAGCTGTTGGTGCAGCGCCTTCTTCCTTTTCTTCTCCGGGCTCCTCCTTCACAGCGTTAGGTAGCATTACCTGAACAAAATTTTTCGAACGCCTGGTCCAGGGACTGTTTAGACTTTAAGTCGATTTACAAGGAACTGAATGGATGGCTGTGAGGGATTATACTGTCTCCCTGGGAAGATAAAGTCAGAATGATTGATGTGGTCACCCTCCAAGAACGTAAAGCGAACTGTTTTGACTTTTATTCTACGCAGCACAGGCGCCAAAAAGTGTACCCAATCAATACCAAAATTTATGAGATGCAGTGAGCAGCAGATATTCCCGTTCCCACCCACCCAGATGTGGCTAAAACGAAATTGGTGCCTATGTTTCAAGCCTTACTATTAGGATTCAGCTTAGCGCAAAGAGCCCTGCTGGATTTACTGCAAGGAAAGGCATATGGTTTACAAGAATCCGCGACAGGCCCTCAAACTAACGCTAAAAAAACACATTACAAGTTATGAAGTCGCAGCTCGAAAAAAAACTCGAAGAAATCCCGAGCTGGAACAAAAATTGTCACAAATTTTTTGAGCAACCATACTGACCTCGTAATCAGAAAGCAGAACACTCTTCCTTATAGTTCGCTTCGGACGTGAAGACAGAGTAGTCTCATTTTGGGAACTTTGCGGATCCTCGGCCACAACTTCTGGAGCTGCATCGCTGTCGACAACCCTTCTTCGTTTCCGGGACGATTTCTGAGGACTACTTAGTGGCGTCGGCCGCTTCTCTACCAAGGGCCTTGCCTCGCTGACTCCGCTACGACGTGTGATCGTCATCTGAATTGTGTCCAGATGAGATTAAATAAATTCCAGCCAAACGTCAAGGGAAAATTTGAAATTTTAAAATGATCTTTCTACTATTACATCAGGTACGAAAATCATCAAAACACAATATGGAGAAGCAAGTTGGAGAATGAGAGAAAGTCTCACAGAGTCTTTAAACCGTTTCTTAAATTGAGTTAGCCTTATAAATGCAAAAGCGGTAAAAAAAGCTGCTGTGGAAACTATGAAATCAATGAACTCACAGAGGGTGGAGGTTCTCATAGAACGTTAGCACCCTGATGACTGGCCAGTATCACCTCCAAGTTCGAGAGATTTCCCATCTATATTCATCGAAATGGCAGTTAATAAACTGTTCATCTTCAAGAAGTGGGATCGAAAGTGGGGGGTGTACCCAATGGCATTCGATTTTTTCGTGTTCGCGCCGTATAGTGGTTTTGCAGACTTTCTCCGAACAAGGAGCTCTCCTATAAAAATGGTCACTAAAGCTAGTATGACTGCTCAAAGCAACTTAAGTTCACCTGTTCTCAACTGAGTTTAATTTTCTAATCATCTTCTCATTTAGGAAAACTTTCGAAAGTCTGGACAAGAATGTTCTTCATTTTCTCCAGCCACGTTTTACTATTTGGGAGATTTTCGAAATCATTACAAGAGTATTTCTGACCTGATGTGGGATAATATTACTGGTCTACCAGAACTCTTAATAGGATATCTTTCTAAGAGGAATTCACCAGAGGTCCCTGTATTGCCTCATTCTTAAAATAACACCAACCTGTATTACAATGCGATGTGCCTAATTCGAAATAAACCTTTTTATCCACGACGTTAACATAACCGCAGGATTTTATATTTTTCGATACTACTATTTGGTTCTTTATTATGACAAGTCCCTAACAGCTATGTGGCTAATGTTGAAGGTTGAAATGTAAGAGGAACCCTTAATATTTTGCTTAACACGAGACCAGAACTCAGACCAACTCTATGTTTCTAGGGCCGCATTCTCCTCCATCGTGTACGTTTCCATGAAGCTCACTCCCACGGATGTCATGTCATCGGAAGGACGTAATAAAATCATCACACAAGTACGTAACGAACAGAAATTCAGGCGGAAGGTGGAAACGAGATTTTACAGACACCACAGCTACGGACACGGCCCCGTCGCCGCCGCCGGCCGATATCGAGCGTTTGAAATTCGCGCAGCGGACCGCGCAGCGTCACGTGCGGAGGCCGGTCACACAACGCTCGCCGCTACCGTAATCGCACTAGCATCAAATCAATCTTTTCCAGATTACGCCATGGCTAAGACCTCCATCTCTTTTCAGGGTTATCTTGGTTATCTCATTGCAGTAACTAAACTTAGAAGTACCACTAACAATTGGAGCGACCACTGATTCATTGGTTGGTCATGTTTCCCTCGAAAAGCGTTTGATGTAGGGAGGGATTTTTTAAGGTTGTAATATTCCATTTCGTATGGGACAACTGTTTTCCTAGTTCTCGGCGAATGTCCGCATCTGTGTCCAACAAGCGATAAAAGGCAAAGCTGTCCCTGTCGTCGACAAAGCCATAAATTTAACTTGACGCTGAAGGAAAATAATGGCTTTATAATCTCTGATTCTTCTTATTCTCTCTCGGTCTCAATCCTCATTTTAAGAATGCCCTGCCCGGGTGGGTTTGAATAAGACTTCTTGCTAGAGGTGCTAGAACTTCATAATCATGAGATGTGATCCAATTTAGCAATGATTAAGTTGGCAATCTGTATTATTAGTCGTAATCTCGTGTAGAAGAAATGATTAGGGAGAGGGATTACCTGGCCACGATCAGCTATTCTACGAACATTGGTCAATCTTTTCGAAAACCAACACCAAGGTCAGCTACAAGTAGGAACTGGAAATGTTTTCTGAGGGATCGAGGAATGNGTCCACATCAGCAGCTTCAGCGCCATAATGATCCAGTATGGCCTTCTCGGTAATTTTCGATGTGGGTGATAAAAGAACGATGCTCCAGAACCGTGCTATTGGGAAGAAGTCCGTTTCCTCTGCAAGCTTATATGCCCGCAAGGCGCCGGACAAATATCAGATGAGGACCAACTTTAGTCCCATCTTGGATGTTATGCAGAGAAGAAGTCGATTAGGTAAAACCTGAACAAGTGAAGAGTGGCAGCGCTGTCTGAAATTGCAAATGCTGGACTTTGAAGCTTTCAGCAGCATGTCTGTACCCACCAACCATCTTTGGTGAGGCTAATAAGTTCTCTTTTCATTTCTCCCATTCGTAATTCAACTATCTACTTCAGTTTTGAGAAATGGTACAGCATCCGTTTTGGAGCAGAACATCTACGTAGTTTTCGTCAGTCGCCTTCAAGTCTTACCTGAGCTCCTTGCGCTACCTTTCCTAACTGAAAGATCTACTTCGAAAAAAAAAAACAGTAGAACTGTGCTGGACGACTTAAGCAACCATTTTCCGACCTCTCAGTGGCTGCAATCAAGGATATTCCCTCGGATTTTTTGAAGAAGGCCTTTGAGATTGTATCCAAAGAGACAGATGGGTATGCAGCGAGCGTCACTGAACACAATGTGGCAGCGTTTGGAGTCTCCTCTGTGTGTAAGACCGGATGAAAATCCTACGTCTCATCCATGAACAAAAATCATGGACGCTGCCATAAATTCCAATGGTTGCCAGGGTCAGGGTGCACACAAAATGCGATGAATAGGTGGTTGTTGGACCAGAGCGGTTAGCAGCTCGCAGACATGCACCAAATTAGGCGCTGCTCAGGATAAAACTTCCCTACTTCTTTTGAGAAAGCCCAGATACCGAAAAAAAAATGGGCGTAAGTGACCACTAGGTCAATGAAACCACAGTGTCAGGCTGCAAAATAGCAGATGGCTTGAAACTAAGCAAAAATGAAAGCTTAAGACATAAACGATCTAAGGTGACAGGCCGAAGGTTTCCGTGTCCACTGAGTGGGACGAATGTTGAAGACCATTTCTACCAAACAACCAAAACCGAAAGGGAGAAAACCTTGGATTCCATACCGTCCCATTCTTAGAGCGAAACAGATTCTTCCAAAGACGACCACTTGCAAGCAGAGAAGAATCCGGAGTTTTGAGGCTCATCCACAATCAAGAGCAACAACGCTTTGGATTGCGGATGATTAACCGAATACATTATGCGATCTCGTGATTCTACCATAGCAGCTACTAACTAAATCCTTTTCGACGTCAAACAAACACCAGATTGGCTGCTAGCTCTGCAGTGGGACTTTTCCGCGAAGCCTTTTAAAGAAAGGATAGTATGCTCCGTGTCCTATGAGCGAGGAAAGTCCGCCGAACAACATTGGCTCGCGACGGGTCGGATGAAAACTTTGCTGGGCCTCATAGGAGCAAGTCGTTTATCAACGATGCGACAGTCATACACCTCCATGCGTAATAACAGAAGAAGACCCTAGGAAGCGGTACAGAATCTAGACCTAATTAACAGACATGTAAAAGTTCGAATGCGAAGATTGCANATCAAGCTAAGCTCGAAAAGATTGAGTGATTTTCATCACACTTCGTTTAAACACATTCTCTTATCAATAGAACAAAATTAAGATCTACCTGGCTTCTATGAGTTGCGAATTCAACTCCTACTGTAGAATCCGACTCGAGATTGAATTCATTGCGGGAGAACCGCGATAACAGGCTGGATTTGCCTATGCCAGAATCACCCACCAGCACCACTGAAACATACTACTATTGAACCGTTCTGGAACATAACTACATCACGACCAGTGAAATTGACACAATAACTTTGATACATCCGTATTTCCCCGTTATGGGATGTCGGCCTCCCTTTCAGAAATTCGTATTTCAATCCATCACACTACACCTTGCCACTCCACTTAAACACGAGAATTCCACCGTAGGCCGTCTAATGAACGATCGTTCGAAGAAGGATCAGCTAAGGCCCACAGCAATTCAAATTATAGTTATATCTACCATATCAGTCCAGAAACTCGCCATGCAACATTTAGGATTATCCAAAATAATATTTATAATTAAATACCAAACGGCGCACTTAATTATTGTTATAAAAAGGTAATCAGAGACGTACGATTCGACTACTGGCTGACACCAATGAGCACAATTTATCACATGCACGTCCCTTATGATTACGAAACCAGAACTTATTTTCGTTAAAACAGCTTAAAAGATGGAAATGTATGAAACGTCACTGCGGTGGCTTGCTCACTCGCTGAGCACACATGGTGATTATCGATGCAGCAGGACAGTAACCGAAAATACAGACTGAAAACCACACACCGAAGATGAAGAAACAAAGCACTTCGCAGAAAAGCGATTCGCCTAGGAAGAACACAGAAGCAATTTTTAAAAAATTCAATACGAGAAAGGAAAACTACAGTAATATGCACAAACTGCTGGTTCCCGTCCTCTCGAACACCAAACAATGGGCCCTGTGTAAATTGGAAATTTTACGATAAGAAAGTTCAACATGGGTTAAAATAGCGAGAATATGAGGCAAATGTAAAAGCGACTGTAAGGTTGCGCGCAGATTCACATCAACACAGAGCCTAAAGGCCACAGAGAGAGATTTAAATTCATCACGACGAACAACACTGCTTCTTCTGGCTTTCGTTGGTTGATGACGTGATGTCGACACCAGATGAAGGTAACGGCACCATACGATCAGACCCGACGTGCTTGTTCGATACACTTTTGTAAATTTCCGTGAGAATATTCGTGAACGCCGCTTCTACATTTGTGCTATCAAGGGCAGATGTTTCTGAAAAATGACCTTATTCAACCACAAAAGTGAATGAACTATTTAAAAAACGGGATGAGATTTTAAACATCCCGGGTTCCTACTGAATACAAGCAGGAACTGCTGCTAACGGATAAATACGCTTTGCACAAGTGCATGGAAGCACATAGGTGCCTTTGAAAGCAGCAGCAGGACGGAGAATGCATGCGAATCACAGCGATTGGGTTAAGTAGGTAGTCTACCCGCTTTTGGATTTGAAATAGGTAGAACAAATACTTAAGTTACAAGAAGGTTAAGGCTTTAGCGAGCCATTTCCCTGCTGTACTGTTTTTAGAATGAACCATCCTGTAGATAATAATCCACCCCAACGAAATTACTACAATGCCTTTCCCGAATCCTATATTGAGAAAACAACTAACCGATAAAGGACAGCTGATTCTTTTCAGCATACATTTTTGCCTCGTCAGTTGGGACGGCTCTTAGATGGCGTAAGTCGCTCTTGTTTCCAACCAACATGATCACGATATTTTGATCAGCATGGTCACGAAGCTCTTTAAGCCAACGCTCAACATTCTCATATGTTACATGTTTCGCTGAAAAAAGTTTTTCAAAAGAGTCATATGAGTGTCGTCTAAGTTTAAGAAGATAGATCTGACTATGAAAAGTTCCACCATGAAAACTTACCAATGTCATAAACTAGCAGTGCTCCAACAGCACCACGATAGTATGCAGATGTGATGGCTCTGTACCGTTCCTGACCCGCAGTATCCCAGATTTGCGCTTTCACCGTCTTTCCCTCAACCTGGAAAGAAATACAAAGCGTCAACGGGATGTGATCAAGAAAACATTTTAGTAAAAGCTTCCATTACCAATAGACAACAAAAAGAATTACCTGAATACTACGAGTTGCGAATTCAACTCCAATAGTGGATTTCGACTCGAGATTGAATTCGTTACGAGTGAACCGGGATAACAGATTAGATTTTCCTACACCAGAATCGCCGATCAGCACAACTGAAAAATTCTATCATGAAAATGCTGTCACAAACGCCAGCGATATCATGGCCATTATAGTTGACACCCCTACAGATGACTCAACAAATGTATCCTTATTCATATTCTCTCGTGAAAATTATTTGCTTGGCAGGCCACCATACATGGCAGCGATGAACGGCACAGTTTCGCCGAACTAGGAATGCATGCTGGAGGTGAAACGAAGTCATGACTATGCAAAAAACTTCTTCGCGCATAATGTTAATCCTTTAAAGTTAAAGATGTATTGGTGCTGATCCCCNCCCCGTAATATCTACGATCTAAGAATGAGAGTATTTCATAGAGAGACGACAAATTTGATCAAATTCTACAAACTACATTATATCTACTGTACTACTCTCAAAATCTCTGAGCTGAAGCATTGATTTGGTCTGGTCAACACCTAACTGTTGAAGGCAAAAGCAAATCAACTCCGAAACGAGAACTGCACCAGCTACTTTTATTTCAAACAATTCGAGAGTCACTGAGCATTCAGCTGTATTTCCTAGCTTTCAGCTGTGCAACATACTCAAAACGGTGTAGCCTTCTCCTTTTTCTTTGAAACCACAGTTGGAGAGCTAGAGGTGTTTGACCGTTAAATCTTTAAGCCTAGATCAGGATTTGAACTAGATTATTGATCTCCAACCGCAGTTGTAATCCAGACATGCAGCTTAAGATAAAGTCAAGTATTCTGCCCATTATTCGTCAACTCACAAAAAAGATCAGTCCAGCCGAACAGAACTATCTTGGAACGTTGGTACACCCACCAATGACCCATCATTAATCACCGGTTAGCACTCGTTTGAAAATCAAATAATGATCCTTCAAGAGATCACCTTATACGAATGTTAATTAATGGCAAACACTTTATAAATTTTTTGATAAATGAACGGTATGCACTTATGACTACAAAATGAACAGTTTTGCCTCAACTGCGCAAGTTCTGATAATACACCGACCCGTATCGTAACTTGCAGCACTACACAAACAAAAATAAGCAGTCAATTTATTAGGACCTGATGGTGAGCGCTCTCAATTGCTTGGAAGCCATCCATCACTCTATTAATGACTGCTTAATTTCGCCCGTAGTAATGTGCCCCTGTGATTTCAACCCAAACCAGGAGAACCAGGTTCCATTTCAGCGATTCCGAATCATGAAGATCAGCGATCAATAAGGTGCAACCCGTGTGTCAGTCCCACAGTGTCCAGTTCACATACTATCCAGCCGTCTCTGTCTCGCTCTCCCTGTGTATGTCGCCGTACAATGACTCATAGCACGACAAGGGCGAAATAGCGTCCCGAATTGGATGCTACAAGCGATCAGAGCCGCGATAGGGCGCAAATCTTCAACGCTTCAACAAAATATCGTTTCGCAATACCACAAATTAATATAATCGTTTTTTCCAGAATATGACCCAGACAAACATATCAAATAGCCCATTAACTGGACGGCATCGTATTTGACTTCCCCATGTGACTTCCCCGCTCAAATTATCCCCCTCAGAACCGACGGCATCAGAAGCAATGGAAAAACATAGCCGAACTAATGAATGAGAACCGTGGGCTAAGCTAGGACAGCGGTAACCGGCGGTTACCCTATGACCTTGACAAAGGTTAACAAAAGAAACAACAGCTAGTGTGAATTCCTGTTCGTTTTGTGAATATTTTATACGAAAGCTACTTACCCTTGAAAAGGTAGTCGTACTCGTCATCTCGAGAACCCATTGTAAGTTGAAAACGGCTGCAAAAGAAGCACTGAATCAATAATCAGGACAAGGAATCAGAACCAACCAAGTAATTCAACCGTTCAACTCAAGATGCATACTCATAAGCTCTTCGACACTACTTCTAAGAATACAAACGAAATGATGTATATGACGTGGTCAAAAACTACCCGACAAGATTTTCACACAGGAAGGTGACAATTCGGAACACAACCCCACCGAGACCGTCATCCACGTCAATCGAGGCTCGACTGCACGCAGACCGCATCGCTCAGTGATGAGTCCCGCATGGATTTGCCTGAAAAGACGGCACGTTGCTGCATTCTGACCATTCTGCATTAGTGGGTTTTGGGGAAATGGCCTAAAACAGGATCTATAACATCTTTGTGTTTTGAATGAGTCAGTTATTAGGAGGTTTTTCACCTATTTCATGATAAGACTTCTCTTAAATTGTGTAATAGGGACCACACGTGCATGTACGAGCAGTTACTTGAACTTGAATCGTCTGGCTTTTTGCCAGTCCAGCCAGCGAACGTCCACGATTAATCTACAACATATATTTGATCTATTCATGCTGTTTTTCGTGCGATTTTCACTTCGCTCTCAAACGTTAGCAGTTCTCAAGGGCTGTAATTTAGTCAGCCTCAAGACTTGATGAAGGGTTTTCAATTATAAACGTTTTGTTTCAGGGTATCACAGGACTAAACCATGGTCGCGTGAGTCGTTTTACATTTTTTAAATTTTTTTGATTATATATTGGACGTAAAATTTTTTGACATTGTTTCTGACTATTTCTCACTATTTTGAATTTAGGAAGAAGCTCCCGCAGGTTCCCGAGACCGTCCTGAAAAGGCGAAAGTTGAGGGCCGAGATTAGAGCGAAGACCCTGCAAAATAAGGTCAAACTAGCCGCTGTGAGTTTTGTCGCTTACACAACTTCTGTGCTTTTTCTTTTTTTTCTGCTTTTCATGCTCACTGCACTTTGAACATTGCATCCTAGTTCCTTTTCAGAAGAGCAAGGAGAAAAAGGCAAAGATCTTCAAAAGAGCGGAGAAATATGTTGCTGAGTACCGCCAAGCACAGAGGGATCAACTCCGTCTCAAGCGTGACGCCGAAAAGAATGGTGATTTCTATGTGCCGGATCAACCTAAGTTGGCCTTCGTGGTCCGAATCCGTGGTATCAACCAGATTCATCCCCGTCCCCGCAAGGTGAGGGATTGCTTTTGACCTTTATTGCTGGCTAACCTTGTCGACTTTTTATTTCTTTTTCATTCATCGAACGGATAATTTCTTGCATTACTTCTTGAACGCACGAACACTCTTGAAATGATAGTTCTGTTACTCATTTCATTTATTATCGTGCAAAATGAAGTCAGCTTCAATACCATGGCTGATGCATCATGGTCAGTCGTATATTGTAGCTGAACAATCTTCCTCCTACGTTTTTTTCCCTAGTGCATTCATTGGTTATTTCGCGAAAGTTCTAGGCTCTTCAAATTCTCCGTCTCCGACAGATTAACAATGGAGTGTTTGTGAAGTTGAATAAAGCCACACTGCCACTTCTCCGCATAGTTGAGCCGTACGTTGCATGGGGATATCCTAATCTAAAAACTGTACATGACCTCATCTACAAGCGCGGATTTGCAAAGGTTGACAAGCGACGAATCCCGATTACTGATAACAGCATCATTGAGGAGGCCCTTGGTGAGTGAAAAGTATATTTTACTTTTTGCCTGTCAATTTCCTATGCTTTACTCATTTTTTGTTATTGAATTTACCGTTATGTTGATTTTCTTATTTACAAAATGATAGTAATAGTCAACTATGTGCTAGGCTGCAAAATCCTCACAAGAAGCTTTTAGGCAAACACGACATCATTTGTATGGAAGATTTGGTTCACGAAATTTACAACGTCGGACCTAACTTCAAGGCGGCCTCTAACTTCTTGTGGCCCTTCAAACTCAACAATCCCACTGGTGGATGGACGAAGAAGACAAATCACTTTGTTGAGGGAGGCGACTTCGGCAACCGTGAGGATCAAATCAACAAGTTGTTGCGGAAAATGATCTAAGAAAGGTTTATTGTTACTGTTTTCTTCGGGTAACCGATGACGATAAAATGTTATTGTTTTCGTTCAATCTTTGTTTCAATTGTTTGGAATTCATATAAATGCTGTGGTTAACTCAGACATAATTGTGTGTTGGGACAGGCCACCGCGGTTTACTTGTTCAGATTTGAATTCAAAACCAGTCAGTTAGGAAATAGCTCTGCTTATAAGTGTTCCCTGGAGACGGAAGTTGAAGGTGAAGGGCAGGTTAGATGGGCGAAGATGAACACTTTTTAAGTAGTTAGTAACCACAGCTGGGTTCCAACTATTCCAGCTAAAACCTTGATTTGCTCACTTAGTGTAGTTGTGGTCCATATGAATCTTGGGGATGGTTGTCAACTAATTTGGGGGTGGAAGGCTCCCTTGGCTCAGAAAAGTCCGAGGTCCGATAAACGAATAACGAGTATGTTGTGACTGTTCTACCAAGCTCATGGTCGAGACGAGGTCCTATCACTAGCACCTTGGAAAAATGTTTGCCCCGAAAGTTTCCACGAAGAGAGACGCTCGCCCACCTAAGTCCACATCGGTTGGCCAGCGACAAAAGTCGCTAACGTCCGTCGATGTGAGCTTGGTTGCTGGACGTACATCGCTAGTTGAACATCTTCCCTCCTATCTAACTGTGCTTCTATTGTTCTAACCAAGTCGAAGATCTGACCGCAGATCTTAGACCTTACTTTGAATCAATGGGAAAACCAATCCTGGTACCGACAAGAAGGCGGATTGTCTTGTTTACTAGTTCGAAAACTTATGATAGGACCATGTTATATGAAATGTGTGGGCAATATCTTGTGAAATGGTAAAGACAAATGAGCGAAATGGGTAGAGAATTATGCGAATTTTTAATGAGTGTTAAACCTGCTCAACCCAAAGTGGAACTTTTAGACCTTCTGGGGTCATTTAAAAAACGACGTGTTAGAAGGAACAATCAATCCATGCGCGCTGGAATCGGCCCTGTGGTATGGCTCTCCTCGGCTTGGTCGTTCTGCTCATGCTACGTTTGCATAAAGAGAAGCTTCTTTGCAAATCAGCTTTAACCCATGGGCGACCGCGCCTTTTATATTGTCTTTACATTAACTTTTAATTTCTCCTATAGCTGTGGTTGGAAATGAATGATTCCTGGACCACAATGCCTCAAGATTCCCTAAAAGGCTGTAAGTTCAGCTGATACTTGAAAGCATGAAAGGATCATAAAAACACTTGGTAAATAATATAAATACTACAGGAGCACGATATGGTGTGGCCCGCTGGCGTGCCACGCGGTCGTCAATGGGTTGAACGCTGCCGATACTTACCCGTAGGTGATCGCCAAGCATAACCCTCACATAACTCACATGG